GATAAAGGATAAGTATAATTTCTGCAAAGAGATTTTGCAAGGTACATAAGATGATATTGTAGTATTGTATTAGAAATAGAAAACTTAAATGGCTTAAGAGTTGATAAGAGATTAAAATGTTGAAATGTTAATAATGATTGGTTTTAAAATTTAATAATATGAGGGGAGATTTAGAATATTGAGCTTTAATTAAAGAGTTTAACAAGATTATGGTATTGATGTTATTATAAAATTTTTATTATAGTATTTGTTTTTAATATTTAGATTTATTGTTTAACTATGTATTTAATTATTCTGGATGTATTATTCAGTTAGAATGTACCAAGCAAAATCGGATTGGGTATTGGGTGTTATTTTAAAGATTAACTTGATTCATTTAGTGGGGAGATAGAAAGGCATCATACTCTGATTAGTGATTTCAGGAGAAATTTCTTTTCTTTTTTTATAAGGAATGAGACAAAGGTACAATAAAGAATGGACAAGATACAAATATAATGACTCAAATTAAGATGATTAATTAAGATAGAATTAAAAAGAGTGAAATATGGGGAGAAGTTAATATAGAAGACTTAGAATGGTAAATAAAATAAGTAATGATATGTAATATGAGCATGAATACAGTGGAAGTCCATGAAGAAAGAGATACCTGGGTCCAAGTTACTTTCCAAAAAGATTTTTTTTATGTTTTGTGTGTTGTGTATATATGTTTTTTTTGGGGGGGGGGGAGAATTAATGAAACCTTGCAGAAATATAGAATGAGAGTAATGGTAACTAAGTCAGAAAGAAATAGATGAAATAATAATAATAAAATGGAATAAGAGTAAAGAGAAATAAAGAGAAAATGGATAAGAGGTTTTTGTATGTTTATATGGAAATGGTTTAAAACAGAATTATAGTTCATCTGACTTGTTAAATTTATAATGGAAAAAGGTTTAAATATGTAATGGATAATGATGACTTGTGTGTTTTGAAAATTAATAAAACTTGTTTTAAAAAAAAAAAAGATTATCATGTTGTATGGAGTTAATGCTGGAGAGGGAGATAGAGAGGACGAAGGAGAGGAGGAGGAAAGGGAGGAGAGGAAAGAGATGTTCAAAGCATAAAAAATACTAAAACAATACACAAAGTAGAAAGACAGATAACTAAGAAGGATAGAAAGCTGCAGCATAAACTATGTCATATTGACTAGCTTTAGCTGTATGTTATTTCCCTTTCTTAGTCCATGCCTTTAATTTCTTTCCACAGTCTAGATCAGTGGTCGCCAACCAGTGGGCCGGGGACCACTGGTGGTCCATGAGAAAATTTTGGTGGTCCGCAGAGAAATGTCACCTCTAAAGCACCCCCCAAAGTAATCCAGACTGCGTGGGAACACAAGGCTGCGCCGCCCACATGGCCCACGGGAACACAAGACGCCGCCCACAAGGAACACAAGGCTCCACCCACAAGGAACACAAGACACCGCCCACATGGGCCACGGGAACACTTGTATTGTGAACATGAGGTAGTGAGGGGAGGGGGAAAGGGCGGAGGGGGGGAACTTGCCCCACGCACCTTGCCTGGCCACCGGGCTACTTCTTTCCGCTTCTTTCTTCTTTTGCTTTTGGCTGCATGCAAGGAAAGCAGCAAAAGAAATGAGTCTTTCTCCACCAGAAATGAGTCTTTGGGACCCTGCAAGGCATCCTGCTCCAAGAGGCTGTGCCGGCATGGGAAGTCTCAGAAAGACTCATTTCTGGCAGAGTTTGAGGGAGAGAAAGAAAGACTTCTGCTGCTTTCCTTGCATGAAGCCAAAAGTCTCTCTCTCTCTCTTTCTCTCTCCCCCTGAGAATGAGCTGGAGATGGTTTCCTGCGATCCCATGTAAAGAATGATCAATCGGTAGGAAAATTGGGGGGGGGATTTTCCTGCAGACTTTTGGGGGGATTTTCCCAGGGTCTCTGGCCCGCGGGATTTAAAATTATAAGTTTGGTGGTCCCTGAGGTCCAAAAGGTTGGCAACCCCTGGTCTAGATAGTGCCGTTTTCCCTAAAAAGGTTATATATGTACTTTTATATGTAACTCTAAAGAAAATTAACCAGGGTTTGTTCAACCATCAGGGAACAGTCCTGCAAGATGACAAAGAACCTGAAGATTATTCTTCCGATCTCTGCTTTTCTCTTTCAGGTTGTTTCAGCAGGTTCCTGGTTAGTACTCAGAATACCTTTAAGGACTAAAATCATCTCAGCATGGTCCTTGAACATTTACCATTAGTCTGGCTTCACAAATGGGGAAAGAATAGTCAAGAATGAAATGAGTTTCCTTCCTTTCTCCTCATCGCAGGTATGCCCTGGGAGGCTTCAGTCACAAGTTAATTAATACTTTTCTATCACTACAAAGGATAGAATTGTTTTATTATCAAGACTGCTCATTATATTCTCCATGGAATTACCCCATCTTTAAGAACTATGTATTTGGCAGCAAACAGCCTTACAAGAAAGAAATGTGTGCAGATTTAACCATTTAAGTTTAACTGAGACTTGCCCTGGTGTGTGTCATGCAACCTCCCTGGTGACCACAAAAGTACATCCTGACTAAAGGATTCTGAATACATCAAGTAATGAAGGTTTCTACAAGAGTTGGAATATTGCTGTAGCCTTGAGTTCCAATATTTTATAGCTTTGTGCACACAGGTTGCACTCAGGCCAATCCCAGTTTCCTCTCACAGGTATGTTGTGATACCGAAAATGCATCACAACAGACCTGTGAGCATGGGCATAAATAAAAACATTTCCAGTACACTTTAACCGATGTTTCAAGATAAACTGTTCCTCTAAGAAAATAGAGAAAATATTATCACAAAGAAATCAAAGCAGGCTAATAAACAAAACTTTTCTATATTATGAATTGATTTTATTCAAGAGCAGACTATTATAAAGATCCTGATCTTTGTGAACTCTTGTTTTTATCAAGAATGCAAAGGAGAAAAAGATCAGCATATCTCCTGAACTATTCTTACACAATTTCAGAATCCACCATGTCCCCTATGAACTTGATATTTTATCCAGTCGTGATAAGTCTGTTAAAGCTATAATTTTAAATTTAAATGATGAGAGGTTTCATTTGTTTTCCAAGCAGAGATAGAACCTTTTAAAAACATACTCCAGCTGCTGTGACCTTGGTCTATGACTTAAAAGTTCACATGCAATAATTTACTTTATCCCAAGGGACCTGCCAAGGTTTTTCTTATAAAATGGTTTAGTATATCATTATACAAATGGTTTTAGTGTATCTTTATACAAAGCAATACCATATGAACTCTGAATAAAAAAAAAGATGAAATTAATGTAAATTTAAAGGTGTAACCAAATCTACAGGGAAAGCCTTTCAAAGAATGTGGTGAAGCCATGTCAAACTTGAAAATAATTAGCAAATCATGCTGTCACTATTAGAAAGGAAGCAGAGGTAATTGGCCATTGATGACAGTAACCTACATCCAGGATCCTGTCATTGATTAAGAAGGACTTAAGCCCGAGGACAGGAGCAACTATTTTCAGTCAATTAGATTCATAGAGTCATACAACAAGCTCAGACATAACACATGAAACAAGAAATATTGATATGCTTCACAATTCTTGTATGTGAAGCTATTCACATTAACTCTACTTTTAAAAAGCTGCACCTTTCTTTGGGCTGATAGATGAGAACACAGTAAAACAAGTGAATGAAAAACATTATAATTGCTCATTTATTTATTGAGGAAAATGATCCAAAGTTACATATTTGAGTGTGCAAAAGTATGTGAATCTCCTAGGATTATCAGTTCAGTTGAACATGAAGTTAAAGTTGTTTCAATCAACAGGATGAAAATTGGTACAAGTGTGGAAGATGTTGATGCTTACCAAGCAGAAAAAGATTGCAAAGCTATTTCCAAAGAGTTTGGACTCTGCCAGTCCCTTGTCAGGCAGGTGGTATACAAATTAAGGCAATTCAGCTCCATTGTTACTTTGTTCAGGAGAAGTCAACCAACCAAGATCATACCAGGAGTGAAGTATGTAATACTCCGATACCCTCAAAGAATCCTAGCTTGTCCAGAAGGATACCATAGTCAATGAGGTCAAAAGTTGCTGTGAGATCCAAGAGGGCCAGAATGGTTGCATTCACAAGCACATCTAGGAATTGGATAGTGACTAGGTATGCTGCTGATTTGTTCTTAAGAGTGCTTTGCCCAAGGTACATGACCTAGAACACAGCTGCTATTACTGGGTAGAAAGACTGCTAGAAACCATATTCTGAACACTTTCCTCAACTCACTTCCATTTTTGAGTTCATTCTACATGAGATTTCTTTGTATATTTTTGACAGTTCAAAAGCTAAGGCCTACCCTATGATAGAATAAACTTAAGATTTTGGCTACAATCATCTGTGTCACAGCTCTCCCAAAGGTACTTTTCCAAAAATCAACTTATCTTTCTTGGGGGGGGGGGGGTTGTTTCTCCTTGAAAACATTTTGCTTCTCATCCAAGAAGCCTCTTCAGTTCTATAAGACTGAACTAAAGCAGCTTCTTGGATGAGAAGTGAAATTTTTTCAAGAGAAAAAAAACCAAGAAAATATTGTTGCCTTTTGGAAAAGCACCTTTGGGATTTAAGATTTTGGGGGAAAAAATCTAAATTTAAGAGAAGCAAAAACATAAAACCAAATAGAATATATGTCTGACAGAAGTGTGCAAGAAATATAAAATCTACATTGCTTGATGTACGAAGCAAACATATTGTTCTCCATAAGTTCTGTTGCTCTATTCTAGACAAACTGTTTTTTTTTTAAACCGTGGGATTCATAATAACCTATTTGCTGCAGGTACTGTTAAGATACCGGAAACCAGAACAGATATTAAAATAGATATTAAACAGAAACCAGAACAGGTATTAAAACAGATATTAAACAGATATTTAAAATGTATAGTATTTTTTTAAAAAAACATGTAATTAAAAAAAACAAATAATGAGAAAACAAAACATAAAAATCTTACCTCATTCCCCCCAACAGCTTTAGTTAAAATCACTGCTGAAGATACAGGCGGAGGCATACAGCCTACTGTCTGTAAACTAGAGAAGGATAAATGAATATAAATTTTATTTTTCTAATTAATCTCCAAATGTTCGATACAAAAGGGGGCATAGCTGTGTACTACTTGCTAAATGACTAATTTAAATATAAAATGACTTCTGAATCTTCTGCTTACAAATAGCTGATCAAATGTCTCTGAATAACTTTCTTATTATTTATTAGCAATTGTACACATTGGAAATCATCTAGAAACATTCCATTGGACAGAGAAAAAGTGACTGGAGCATTACTGAGGCTCAAGGTACAATTCCTGAACACTTTCACCATTCAAATTTTATTGTCCTCAACTGTTCAATGGCCTCCAAATCTACTACATTGAGGAATGTATAATCATTCCTTTCTGGACATGATTCTAGACATCACAATAACTTCCTAGATAAACATATGACTTTCTTGTTTCCATTTTCAGAGAAATACTATATATAATAAAAAAAAATCTACATTAATGTATTTTCATTCATCAATTATGCTACCCGTTTGGCTAGTTCTTGACATTTTTGTTGAGGTTGACACTTCTTACTTTTCCATTTTCTATGACTACTAGTTAGTTAAACACATTTACATATTAAATAAAATTCAAAGTTATGAGTAATAGTGACTATAAGGGACTTCTCAAGTCACCATATTTTAAATGCAAGGTGCTGAAAAAGAAACCTCTACATAATTGTGTTTTACAATTCAGTATGCTATTTCATGAACACTCAACAAGTATCCTTCTATTCTACCATGACTTACTGTATTCTTACTCCAATACTCTTTGTAAGTGGTCAGCAAATATAGCACAGGCATGTTAAAAAGAGACATGAATTGTAAGTCCCTACATATAAAATTTGTTGCCAAGCCTTTATATGTGGAATAAAAATTCTGAAAGAGTAACCTAACAGCAAGCGTCAAACCATTAAGCGGCACAAAAAAAAATAAGTTCACTATTTTTTAAAAATACGCTAGCATTACTGGAAGTGCATTACTGGGAGAGCAGCAATAAATAGTTCACTGCTTAAAACATACCCTTTTAAAAGCCATTCATTTATAGATGTAATAGATAGAAGCTGAAGAAATAGCCATATAACTGTTGGGACGAATACAAGTGTGAAGATCTGCACAAAAAGATGCAATTTTACATGCATCAAAGCACTTGTCAGCTCCTGCAAAACAAAAGAAGAAAAAGGATGCAGTTTTAACAGCTGAAGTTAGTATTGCTCAAATTAGTATCATTAGATACTGTACATTAGCTGCACATATTTTCAAAAAATCTGTTTCTAAATTTAGTAAATAACAGGTTGAACTCACAGTGATATACACAAATATATGACATGACATTGTCTACAATAATTAAGTACAAATTGAATATTTTTATTTATTTCATTTTTTTACTTATTCATAGACTTCATTGAAAGGATTTCAGTCAATTCTTGCACAAAAAGGGGAGGGAAATCATGGCTATATGTTTGGAGTGAGTGGCTGTGCTGAAAAGCCTTAAAATTATATCTTTGAGGATTAACAAGAAGCAATCCATAGCTTGTGCTCTTTTACAATACAGTCATCTCGAGACATGAAATCTATCCCACAGATTTTGCTAATATCAATTTTAAAAATAGGTTTAAAAAAGAGACCTAGCAACTGGGGAATTCTGAACTTGAAGTTAAAAATGAGGAAGACTGACATACAACTAACAGTGATAATGTCGTCATTTTAAAATGTGGCCCTACTACCAGACTCTTAAAATAACCTAGAATTTTGTTATTATTTAAGTAACAAATGAATAAATAAAAGATGAATATTCAGTTTGTAGTACCTCTGTTTTCAGGGATAGCCCACTATTGAAGAATATAGCAGAGACAGCTACATATGTGATGGTGATTTCTGGTTTCAGTGGTCCTGGAAGAGAAAACACATTTGAAGCAAGAGTAAACAAAAGCAACAAACTTCTGTAAGCCTTCCCTTTAACATTTATAGACGGATATTTATTCTCTCCAACTGTGCATTCTATAGAGAAGTTTAAATCAGAATTCTCTCCTACTCTCTCCCTCTTCTTCTTCCCTCCCCCCCCCCCCCCCCCCTCCCCCTCTCTCTCTCTCCTCAATCTAGAACTTGTTGCAATTGGCTGCCTTGTCAAAACTAACAATAACCTTGTGATTAAGAGCAATAGATGCATATAACTCAGTAACGGCAGCCATAAGGTCTAGTTCTCTAGATGGTTAATTATGTAATTTTCATTTCATGCCATCTTAAACTATATTTGCAGTAGAAAGAATAAGATCTCAAGATCTGGACATGCACTTTAAAGCAAGTTTCTACTAATTTTAGCCATTGTAGGTAATCCTGAAAGTCCAGATTCAAAGAGAAAATAATGTCCGTTTTACATGAAATGAACCTTTGGTCACGAACACTTCTGACCATGACCAAATCGGGTTCCAACTAAAAAATCCACAATTTTCTTTTTGCAGCCGATTTCCCCTTCCGCGCCATTTTTTTTTTGTAAACACCAAATTTCCAAAATTAGGTTCAGGTCATGACAAAATCGGGCTAGGGCCAAAGTTATGGAACGAATTATGGTCGCGACCAGACTGTATAATAAAGAGAATGATGTTTCTACAAAGCAGGTACAGTAATAGCAGATGGTAGTAAAAGACCCAAGTTTCTTTGTATTCTGCTGTTTAAGAAGAAAAGTTAGGTAATTGTCACACCATTATTCACTAGAGGCTATATTTAGAAAGGAACAAAATGTGGGGGAAAGACATGACTGCCTTCTGATTGGTTTTAAATTTCACTTCACATAGGAATCTGCAAAATGCCATACATCTTTGATGATGCAAAAACAGGGTAATAGGTACTCATCATATTTATGTATCAACATTACTGGCACCACTTTTAAGTTCTGATAATTGGGGAAGAAAACCACCAATGTTTTCTTGGCAGCCAAAAAGACCCTTAATATTTCTCAAAGTAATGCAGGCTGAACTATTCCCTCAGGCAGTTCTCAGTACAAGACCAGAAAACACACTATTAAAATGAAACATGAGGAGCACAGTTTTGGCACCTTGATACTACAATAATGTGAATAGTTAGTTTTTTAACTTTTTTCCCCCTTAGGTTCAGGTTTGTTGTATATGATCACTGCTTGCATTTTACGAGAGGCCAAATAGAGGACAATTATTACAAAATATTATAAAAGTCAGTACTACTAAGTCAAACATCTGTAGGACTAAAGGCCCACTATCATAGTTGTTCAGGAATCTCTAATTACAAAGACATCAAATTTTGAAAGATATTTTTGGAAAGGAAGAAAGGGGGTAATCAAAAGCCTATTTAAGAGGTATTATTAAGGTAGCCTGCTTGCTGAAGCAAGGATGCAGGCTGCATTTGAAAATGTTTGTTACTAAATAAAACAGGACGGCATGAACTTTTCTAAAGAATATTTATTTAAAAATACGTTTTAAAATAAATCAACATATTAGTTAGTATATACTGACTTCTCACAAAATCCCCCCTTGTAGGAACATTAAAGAAGATGAATTTGTCTATTATGGAAAATAGAAAATTCTACTTTCACTTGATTTTGCCTCGTAAGAAATGAATGGAATCTATAGAATCTATGGGAAATAATCACTTAAAACAATCTTGGGAGATTTATTTTGAGCCTATATAACTTTTATGCATAATAATTCAAGTTCCTCAACTATACCAACATAAGAATCACTAATTAATCACTAAATCGCTTAAGAAAAAAACATTAATTTCTCATGAAGTTTTAGAAAAAATGGTATACAATACAGAAACATGCTAAAGAAGCTGATAGATGGCAATTCATATCTTACAATTGTAAAGGTAGAGTTTGGGAAACATACATTTTTAAGACTATTTCTCACCGTCAGAATGATCTCTCTACCAATCAAAAGTTTACAAATAATTGTAAAGACTGTAGATAGTAAACACTACAGTATATTCAGTGAGCCGTTTCCCCTTCTGTCACAAAACAGGAAATGCACTAAGTACACATCACAGGCACAAACATAGGTCTCACAATCTGATTTCAGTACTGCATACTATAGTAGATAGTGTCCAACATTGTATATAACTTAAGGGCTGCGTTACCTAGAATGAGGTTACCTGTCCTGTTAGATCAGAAAAAGTTCCACTGCATGTGAAGTGAGGTATTATGGACAAGAAGTCAAGCTTTATCAACTGTAGCCTCATAGAACACTTCGTTTCTGACCCTTTTCTGTTGTTGCCATAATTTTCGCTGGAGATAGTTTGATTCCTGGATCTTAGAAGCCTAAGGCAATTTTTTTTTCAGAAGTGATTTGCCAAGGCCTCCCTCTTAGAGCTGAGAGAAAACAACTGGCCTAAAGTCATCCAGCTGGCTTAGTGCCTAAGGAGAGACTAGAACTCTTGGTCTCCTGGTTTCCTGTCTGATGCCCTAACTATACCAAACTGGCTCTTTACTAAAAAAAAATACATTAATAAAGTTACTCTTCCCCTTTGTTGTGGCTATTGTATTATTTTGATTTTTTTATACACTGCTGCTTGAGATTCTTTTGGCTTATCCAAAGTGAAAAGATAGAGGTGGTATATAAACTGTGATAATAAAAATAGAATAGTGCAGGTGGGTGTCCTGTATACATACACACAATATAATGTATGTAAACACAAAATTTAACAAAGTGAAGCCATCCGTTTGGTTATCTAAAAAAGGAAATTCTGTTCTCTCCTATAATTAGAAGAAAAAGAAGTTCCGGTAAAAGTTTTCCCAAACAGCAGGACAACAGACATATGTAATTCATGTACTGGACTTCACACAGAAGAAAAGTGGTAATTATCTCCAATTAAAGAAAAATAATGTTCCATAGGAAGAGAGGATTACACTTATTATCCCAAGTTGCATTAACACATCAGAGTTAACAGGTTGTTTAAATGTTGCCTTCAGTCAGCCCAGAATCAATACAAAATGATCTCAAAGTTTATAGGTAGATCTATTACTATTGGAAGAATTAACAGGTAAAATAAGAGTTCAAGGAAGTGGTTAAAACGTAATGCCTATTGATAAGCATGACCTAATTTAGGAACAGCTTATCAAATTTGACAGCCATTTACGAACTGTAAATCTCTATCGCTTGAACGACGTTGAAGTTTCTACACTTGTTGCATATCCTTAAAGTCCTGTAAGTGGTGCACTACTGCTTGCTCTTAAAGGGGTGTGTGTGAACTACTGCTTGCCCTGAAAGGGTGTGTGTAAACTAACTGGTGGGGGGCTACTAGGTGCCCTGAAGGGGTTTGTGTAAACTAACTGGTGGGGGGCTACTAGTGTCCTGAAGGGGTGTGTGTAAACTACTGCTTGCCTTGAAGGGATGTGTGTAAACTAACTGGTGGGGGGCTACTAGGTGCACTGAAGGGGTGCATGTGAACTACTGCTTGCCTTGAAGGGGTGTGTGTAAACTAACTGGTGGCGGACTACTAGGTGCCCTGAAGGGATTTGTGTGAACTAACTGGTGGGGGGCTACTAGTGCCCTGTAGGGGTGTGTGTGAACTACTGCTTGCCTTGAAGGGATGTGTGTAACTGGTGGGGGGCTACTAGGTGCCCTGAAGGTGTGTGTGTGAACTACTGCTTGCCCTTAAGGCAGTTGCCAAGCTTGGCAACTTTAAGCCTGGTGGACTTCAACTCCCAGAATTGCCCAGCCAGCATGACTAGCTGAAGGATTCTGGGAGTTGAAGACCACAAATCTTAAAAAGTTGCCAAGTTTGGAGAGCCCTGCCTTAAGAGGTGCGTGTGAATTAACTGGTGAGGCGCTACGGCCTGCCCTAAAGGAGTGCGTGTGAACTACTTCACCCCTACTTCGACAGCAGCCGAACACACACACACGAGTTGCCTCTTCCTGCAACTGCAGCCGGATCCTTCCACGCGGAAGTGGTGTCTCCCAGCGCTCGCTGGCGGGCCGGCCGGGCGTGCAACGTGTCACCTCAACTCCGTCCGGGAGTTTTGAGTCCGACCTTCTTCCCCTGAAGGCAGAACCCCTGCTCTTCCCAAGGAGGGACGGTAGGAAACCCATAAGGAAGAGGAAGGCAGCTGGACTCCAACGGCGCTGCCCCGTTACGAAGGGAACACTCTTGCATTGCTCAGGCAGAGACAACCCCCCCCAGTCCTACTGAGCCCCGATTTTTTTGGGGGGGGGACGGACAGCGGTCGGAAAGGGGGTTCAGCTCCGACCCGGGGCAGCAGCCCTGCCTGTTTCTCTTTTGGCCGGCAAACCCGAGTGTGAAGGGAGGGGCGGGAGGGTCCCCGGGAGACTTACCCCCCTTCACCCCAAAGGCCGGCTCCAGCTTGGCGACGGTGATGGCCAGGACGATCCCCAGCATGAACCAGTCCTTCCTCAGCCGCTCCAGGACGCCCATGGCAGCGGCGGCGGCGGGACTGGCCGAGAGGCTTGGGCGGCCGCGAGGAGCGAGGGAAAGGAGGGCGGGGAGGAGAGTCGGTCAGGACTTCCCTCGGGCCCTCCTCCCGCACGGAGCAGCTCCGCAACGGTGCCGCCGGCCGCGGCCAAACCAGTCAAACGCCGCTCCCGCCGCCGCTGGGGAAGTCTCCGGTGACAGGCGCTCTCTGAAAGCCGCCATCGCTACCACGCGACCGCTAATAGACTCGCGCGCGCTTCGCCTCGCTCCGGAGCAGAGGTCTCCAACCTTGGCTACTTTAAGCCTGGCGGACTTCAACTCCCAGAATTCCCCAGCCAGTAAAGCTGGTTTGGGGAATTCTGGGAGTTGAAGTCCCCTGCTCTGGAGGGCAAGAGGGGGGCAGCAAGCCCGCCTGGCAGGACCCCGGAGGCCTCAGCAGCTAGGACTTTCTGCCCCCGGGGGAGAGCCTCCCGGGAGACGCGGGACGACCCCAAGCGGCGCCCAAACGCTAATCCGAAGGAGCGCCGCCGCCGCCAGAACTGGGTCCTAAGAAGAGCGCCGCAGAAGCAGGCTAAATGAAGGAGCCCACCTCAAGTTGGACGGAGGCGCTTGAGAGAGCAGCAATCCTGCCCCGCTGCCCGGCTTCCTCGGCGGGTGGCCATCGGAGGACGGGGAAGTCGGGGAAAGCCCTTCTTAGCCGACCCAGCGGCCGGGAGGAAGAGGAATGTGGGAAAGGTCCGGAGGGGCTGAGAGGAAAGGGCTTGCGCGCCTCTTCGAAACTTTACGTCCGCTCTGTGACGACACCACGGCGTTTAAAGCGTGAGAACGGGGGCGGGCCGGGGGCGGGGCTAATGCTTTTAATTCCTGGCGTGAGACGCGTGTCGCGGGACTCGCACTTCGGGAGGGCGAGGAGGGCGCTAGGGGTTGTGTGAGCGCGCGCACCTAAGCGACCGATGATTAAAAAGCGGCCGGGAATTATTTCCCTTTTGAATCGTGGGGGTACTACTTGTTGGGATTTGTTTTAATATTAGTTACCCACTGCTGAGAGATTTTCCTTCCTTTCTCCCTCCCTCCTTCCTGATGCGATCTTTCTTTCTTGTGCGCGTTTATCCAAGAAGATTTAGAGCTTCTTTGTAAGAATTTCATGCAGGGAGAGAGAGGGAGAGAGGGAGAGAGAGAAAGAGCTGCAGGAACAGGTAGGTTTGGAGAGGAAACCTCTGTCCCTGGTTCTGCCTCTGAAGTCTCAGCCGGCCTCTTGACTCCACCGTTTCCGCACTTTTAGCCTTGATCCCTGGGGGTTGGACGACGCAATTCTGACTCAAAACCTCGAAGTAGAGATTATAGTTTATTGCGCCTGCATGCATGTGGTTGATTTGCTGTTTCACTCCTCATGGCAATTTACATGTGACAAAAAGAAATAAAATGTAAAGGCGGTAACAAAAATATCACAATATGAAATAATATAGAACGGTGCTACCCATTAAATTGGCCATAATGGGTTATAACGTCACGAGGCCAGAATTATTAATTGTTCAGTGGAGAAAGGACACGGATGCAGTGTGGAAGCTCCTGCAAAGTATCTTCTGAGAGGGCCGCGATGCATTCTCAGGCATTAGGAAGAAGTTTCTCCTGGCTTCATTAGCTCCTCCTTTCCTGCTCCCCATCTTAGGTATAGGAGTGACAACTGCCAGAGTTCCCAGTCAGGATGTTGGGCAAGGCTGGGCTGCAATTCTGGAAGTTCCAGTTTCAGCTTCTGAAGGACACCAGCTCATGGTTATATTTGCTGATCTCCCTTGTCAAAGATTTACTTTTATCACTCATCTGTTCTGTTTTACCATGGTTGCATAATCTGATAAAAGCAACACACCCTCAAAAGTGAAACACTATTTCATACATTTGATTTATTAAATTGAACTGTCTATTTAAATAGTGGTGCAGTCCAATATGCATTTACAGAAATGCATAGTTACCTGACTTCAAGGATAATTTAATCCCTGTTAAGATTAAGATGATTAAGATACTTATGTATATTCTGGTGTCTTGTAGGAAAGAGATGTTATGACGCTCCAGAGGTTGCTGAAGTACTGTTCTGTAACTGTAGCTAGCACAGGAGTTGCAACATCCTCATTACTGTGCCTAGCTAATTCCTGGTGGATACCAGACAAGTTTTATCTTAAGAGAGCAGATGCTACACTGTTTATATTTAAGAAATGCCTGTTTAGTCTTTAAATGTTAAAGAAATGAAATTTCTTTCTATTTAAGAAATGCCTATGTTTACTCTTACATCAAAGATTGCCACAATGCCATTGCTATCATCAGGTAAGAGCTACTTTGAGATGCTTTTCTTTCCCCAACACAGAAGTTTGCAATATAGCTAAAAGAACATATTCAAAAGCAGCATTAATAAATCAAATATAGTTTTTGCATATCTGTCCAGAAGCAAGTTCCACAGACTCCCACCATAAAATAAGTGGTGTACAGGACAGCATGAATGAGAAATTATCAGGACTATTGAAAGAGACTAAGCAGAATCTCTGTAATATTTAACTTGGAAAGGGATCTGTTTCTTATTGCTGAAGTCGCACATTTTAGCATTGGTTTATCTGCTCCTGCATTCCTATTTATTTTCTTAATTCTAAAATTCAGGATGTTTCCTGTTATTTACGGGAATGACATCCAAGACCCTATCTATGCTTAGCATTTGAATGAGTCTTTCAAAATAGACCATTGAACCACAAATTAAGCAGCCATATTTCTGTCTAAGATGGTAGGATAACCTATGAAGTTATTTTATCTTTCTGTGTATCATGCAAACAAAGAAATTAAATTGCTTTAATAAATCACAGAAAAGCATCCTGTATGGTTAGAACCATTAGCTTCTGTTCTTGCCTTTCCAATTGATGTGTGAGGACCATTCCTTCTCAGTAAGGACATAGGCATCACCTACTGGTTCTGAGCATTGCATTCCTAACTCCTCCCCAATAAAGTACGTAACCGGACAGTGAGAAAAATCTATTCCATCCTTTTGAATTGTTTTCATTGGTCCCAATAGCCCTTTCCCATCTCTCATCTTGGAGGATAATTTTTTCAGCTGCTGCTCTGCCTTTTTATACTCCATATATGAACTAACTTTTCCACAAAACTGTTTGAAGCCTGCAAATAAAGCAAGCCACTGAAATGTTCAGTAATGTGGTACGTAGTTACAAAGTACAAAAATGAAGAACTAATAAAGGGGGAGGATGAAGAAGTTATGAGGGGTCCTTGGTGCTCTCAGCTTGCAGATGTTTCATTACCCAAACTAGGTAACATCATCAGTGGTAGTTTCCTATTCACTAGCACTGATGATGTTACCTATTTTGGGTAATGAAATGCCTGCAAGAAAAAAAGCAAGCTCAGAGAGCACCAAGGGCCCCTCATATCAATCCTGAGTTGCAAATAGTCTCCTTTATGAATAAGTTAGTTTCCACGTTTTTTTCCCACTGGATGGAAAAGGCAGGTGTTTGAACAGATCTCCTCCTTAAGCTTATAGTATTAAAATCAACCTTTTGGAGCTACAGGATAATTTCCAAGGCCTTGCTTGTTTCTTGTTTATCTCTTGCATTCATATGGCTGCCATCTCACAAAAAGCAGCCCTGGACAGCATACAACTTGTAACATTTTCATGTTAGTAAGACAAGAATTTGGAAGGCCGTCACTTGGGATAACTGCTGGGGACTTTTGCATTCACAAACTAGCCAGCATGTAGGTCATCAGATGCCAAGTACAAGTACACCAGAAGGTTACTCTTCCTGTATCCACAAACGCAAAGGTTCAGTATTATCTCTTCCTAAATTTGTCTTTGTCTTGGCAGAAGTCACGTTTTCAAGCAAAGATCGGAGTTGCAGTGGCATATCGTGTTTATTTCCTAAGAAAAACATGTGAATATACAGTTGTGTACAAATGAATGTGAAAAGTAAGGCAAGAAGCCTGCAATTGCAAGAATGGTATCCACAGATATAAGGAGACGCCTGAGGGTCATGTTGAGGATCGCAAGAGTTGCTGGTCCAGGGTTGTTCATTTGGTTCATCCTTTATGACAAAACAAACAAATCCATCTTGTTTAGAAATGGATGGGTGACTGGCAAACCCCTTGGTGCGTTTTGCTATTCTTCAATACTGTTTTAATAATAATACTGACATTTCTGTACAGTCAATTTGGAAAAGAGCATTAGCATTAATGGCTAATTCAGTCATTTCATCAAATATAAGCTGTTGTACAGAGCCGAGCCCCATGATTCTGTAACATCTGCCTTTCCTTTGGGAAAGGGCACACCTATTATAAAATAAAGACAACTTAATCTCTTATGATTTATTCTATTTCATTATGTATGAGTTCCTGCCGAATGAGATTTCTCCGAGTCTTGGGAAAATATATAGGATCTTCTGTACTACACCTGGAAGTCAGTGGACTTATTTCAATGTTAAATAAATCTCTTCCAATCATAAAATACCATGTCCTTGGCTGTGTATGCCGTGCTTCTTCTATCTCCCTCTTCCTTCAAACTCATCTCTGTGTGGATTAACTTATTCCTATTTCCAACCATAATTTATCAGGTGTTGTATGCATTTTCTCATATTCAGTATGGCAATCTTCACCTTTTTAGCCTTCCTACACACACTGATGTTTTACAGTCCCACTGTGGTTTAAATGGTAAATTTCTTGGGAGAAGAAAGTTTTCTCTTTACCTATGGAGCTCCATAAAACACAATATGCACTGATAGCAATGTATGAAATACTAATACAATTATGATCTTGGCACTATAGTTGGGCCTTTTGATTAAAAGATATCCATAATATGGAATTCTGTTACTAAAGTATTGTTACACATTACGATTTTGATCTTTGTGTTCCGCTACGCTTAGTCACATGCAAGTTTCATCTTGACTTGTGGCTTAGTGCAACAAATCCAGCCAATTAGAACATAGCTGGTAAACTCAGGTTAGATAGGCTGTGATTCAACATGCATTTTGTTTCATCACATTGCTTATCTCAACAGTTTAATAATCAAGCCAAACACCATTTAGGGTTAGGGTTAGATAATGTGTGCCCATAATTTATATTTCAGCTTGTTTATACCTGTTAATCTTTTACATGTTTCCCTCTCTGATAGCCCAGAGCAGGGGTGTGAAATTGACATTGTCACGGCGATGTCATGTGATG